TGCAGAGGTTGTGGCTACTTTGCTGGGGGGAAGCCAAAGCTGCCTTGAGGCCCTCAGGGTGCAGGGGAAGCCTGGACTGTGCTGGAGCTGGCCCAGGGCTGGGCACTGCGACTCCGCAGCCAGGGGCACGGGTGGAGATTGGGGGGGCCCAGCAGGAGCCAGGCTGTGACTGGGGTGGCCCTGCCCATGCTGAGGGGCTTTGTGAGAGTTCAGTGCCACAGTGGCCCTCATCCCTGTATCTCCTTTCCTGTCTTGGCCCTTTTTGTGCAGAGCACCTGAGTTCCCCAGGTGACCCCAGGGCTGATTCTGTTCTCCCTTGGGAATGGTGACCCTGCCCTTCAGTCTTTTTTTTCCAGTTATCCTACTGCGGGAGCTCTGGTATGTCATGGGATGGGTGTGCAAGAGGCTGGTAGACTTTGAACAGAGCTAGCTCACAGTCTTAGCACCTTTATTACTCTTTCCGTGGCCTGGAGCGTTGTGGCCGGTCCCTCCCTCCTGGGGCCATCCTTGGTGGAGGTGAGAGCAAGAGTCCACTGCAGAGCAGGACCCCTCTGGTGGCACAGGTACAGGGAGGGGGGTGTGTGGGCTGTAGAAGGGACAAGAGAGGGTTTGTTTGTCTCATCATGGGCACTGCCACTCACCCCGCTCCTCCCCGTCTTGCAGTGCAGGTTGTGCCCCAGGAGAGCGATGGATGTGGAGCAGCGCTGTCAGCGTTGGCCACAGTTGTGGGGTTGTGCTTGTTCACAACCTCCATCCCTTCACCATTGGGTGCTGTGTGGTGCCTGGTGAGTGTTGTCCCGGTGTCCCTGAGCTCTCATTCCCAGAGTGGGTCCCAGTCCCTTGTCAGCTCTCAGCCACCTTCAGTGCCTGGGACAGCCCAGGGCACGTGTGTGCATGTGTGTGTGTGTTTTGGCCAGGCCAGTGCAAGCCAAGGCCAGGCCTGGCTGTGGCCCTGGTAGTCTGGAGAGTGCCCAGGTGAAGGATGAGAGCTCGGTGCCCCTGGGGTGTGAGGCACTTTAGCCCTCTCTCAGGAGAATTTTTAGGTCCCCTCACGTGCCCTTTAGGTCCCTTTCCCCCCTCCTCCCCTATTTTTTTCTTTCTTTCTTTGGCTCCCCCATTCCCATTTTTCTTTCTCTTCTCTTCCTTCACCTGTTCTCTTCTTGTCCCATTCCTTTATTCTTCTTTTCCC